CCAGTGTGGATGCCCTTTATTTTTCTTGCCTACTTGTCCTGGCCAAAATTTCTATTGCAATGTGTTTTTTTGTTTTTGGAGGCCAGCTGGTACAGGGATCAAACCCTGGACCTTGGGGTTATCAGCACCATGCTCTAACCAATTGTCTATTACAATGTTAAATAGAATTTGACATCCTCATCTTGTTCCTGATCTTATAGGGAAAGTTTCAGTTTTTTACAATTAACTGTAATGTTAGCTGTGGGTTTTTGTGGTGCTCTTTATCAGGCTGAGGAACTTTTCTTCTGAATTTGTTGTTTATATCATGAAAGGATGTTGGGTTTTGTCAAATGACTTACCTGTGTCTGTTGAGATTACCATGTTTTTCATCTTCATGCTATCGATATCGTGTATTACACATACATATTACATCACATACACATTATATATAATTGATTTTCATATGTTGGACTAACCTTGCATTCCTGATACAAAATTCTCTTGGTCATGGTGTATAATAATAATCTTTTTACATGTGGCTGGATTTGGTTTGCTAGTAATTTAAGATTTTTGCACTTATATTCATGAAAAATACTGGTCTGCAGTTTTCTTGGGGGATATCTTTGGTTAAATATGAGGATAATACTGGCCTCATAGAATGAGTTAGAAAGTGTTCTCTACTATTTTTTGAAAGAGTTTGAGAAGGACTGGTGTTAATTCTTCTTTAAATATTTGATAGAATTCAACAATGAAGCCATCTGGTCCTGGGCTTTCCTTTGCTGGAAGTTTTTTTTTTTTTTAATGACCGGTAAGGGGATCTTAACCCTTGACTTGGTGTTGCCAGCACCACACTCTCCTAAGTGAGCTAACCGGCCATCCCTATATGGGATCCGAACCCATGGCCTTGGTGTTATCAGCACCACACTCTCCCGAGTGAGCCACGGGCCGGCCCATTGCTGGAAGTTTTTTGATTGGTAACCCAATGTCTTTGTTATAGGTCTACTCAGATGTTCAGTTTCTTGAGCCAGTTTTGGTATTTTGTGAGTTTACAGGAATTTGCCCATTTCATGTGGGTTAATTTTTAGCATACAATTGTTCATAGTATTCCCTTAGAATTCTTCTCACTACTTTAAGGTTGGTGATAAAGCTCCCTCTTTTGCTCATGATTCTAATAATTTGAGTCTTTTTTTCTTGATCAGTTATTTTGCTGATCTTTTCAAAGAATCAACTTTTGGTTCTGTTGATATCCTCAACTGTTTTCTTACTCCGTGTTTCAGATTTCTGCTCTATACTTTGTTTCCTTTATACCGGGCTTTGTGGTTTAGATTGTGCTTCTTTTTCTACTTTCTTGAGGTTAAAGTTTAGGTTACTGATTTGAGATCATTCTTTTTAAATGTAGGCATTTAAAGCTTCTAGTTTATAGTCTAAGTGCTGCTTTCACTGCATCCTAGAAGTTGTATACTGTGGTTTTGTTTTCATTCCTCTCAAAGTATTTCCTAATTTGCATTTGAGGAAAACATGTATTCGACTGTTGCCGGGTGGAGTGTTTTGATATGTCCATTAGGTCCAACTGGTGTATAGAGTTGTTTGAGTACTCTATTTCATTACTGATATTCTGTTGTGTAGTTCTATTGATTATTGGAAATCGGGTATGAAGTCTCCGACTATTACTGTTGAATTGTCTATTTCTCACTTCAATTCTGTCAGATTTTGCTTCGTGTACTTTGGGGCTCGGTTGTTAGGTGTGTATGTGTGTGTGTGTGTGTGTATTATATATTCTTGATGGACTGAGCCCTTTATCATTATTTAACCTTGTTCCTTGTCTCCAGCAAAACAATTTTTTTTCTTAGTCTATTTTGTCTATTAGTATAGCCACTCTAGCTCTTTTGGTTTTTGTTTGCATGTAATTATCTTTTTCCATTCTTCTACTTTCAATCTATTTGTGTCTTTAAAATCAGTCTTTTGTAGACAGTAAAGACTTTAGATCAAGTTTTTAAATCTATTCTGCCAATCTCTTATTTAAACAGCATCTTTCTTTCAGGCACCTTCAAAAACCCTAGCGCTCTCAGTGTGTACTTTAAAAACCACTGACTTAATACATGCAAGAAATCACTTATGAAAGGCGTAGCTCTATCATCCTGGTTTAACATCCGCAGCATCATCATGACATGCACTGTGGAAGTATATCGGCAGCACGGCACCAGCTCGCCTGTAGTAGATACTGCTGACTGCCTACCCTTCTCCTCTGATCGTAGAGCCCTGATTCGGTTTCTTGTGTTTGCCCTTCTCTTGAACAATCAAGTGGTACACTAAGGTGATCACGCTCTCCTTTCCAGGTACTGGTCTAGAGGGATGGGAACGCTAGCCAGTCTGGATCAATAAAATGTGAAGGGATGTCTTCCCACAGAACTTATGAAAAAGGTTTATTACTCTTAAAGAAGCTCAAGGAAGTCTACCTTTCAGTTAAACAGTGTCAGGTGTTCACGATGCCATGAAATACAGCAACTATCCTGTAGTCACAAGGAAGAGTCGACCAGAGGACAGCATGATGATGATGACGAAGAACAGAAAGAATTCTGGGTCCTAATCAACATTACTGAGTTCCAGTGTTAACCAACCTGGAAACCCTCCCTACCTCTGGGCTTATTTTAATAATAAATATCCATATTAAGTGAGTGTATATTAGGTTTCCTATTTTGACCAAAAATTCTACCACAGTTTTATTATCTCTCAGTATCATCAAACAATAAGCTTAACTTCTGTATTTTGATGTTTTATTCAAAAGACTTCAGTTTTCCCTTCATCCAGCTTTCTTTAATGTCAACATTCTGTATAACCACAGTATATTTGTTAAAGCTAAAAAATCAACATCAGCACAGCACTCTTAACTACAGGCTTTTCTAGGATTTCACATTTTTTCCACTAATATCCTTTTTCTGTTCCAGGATTCAATCCAGGGTACAATATTAAATTTGACACTATATTTACTTAGTCTCCTCCCATCTGTGAGTTTCTCCATCTTCGCTTTTCATGACTGTAGTGGATTGAATTGTCCCCCCAAAACTCATTGAAGCTTGAATTGTGTTCCCCAAGTTTTAAGTATTAGAAACTTAACCCCATTGTGATTGTTAAGAGGGTGGGAAATCCTATTATGGTAATTGAAAGGTGGGGCCTTGAAGAGGTGATTCGATTATAGGACCGCACAGTAGTGAATGCATTAGAAATGGTGATCAGGGGCATGGTTCTGAGCACTTTAAGAGGGGAGTCTGTCTTTCTCTTTCTCTGTTCTCTCTGCTTCCACCATCTTGTAATGTGCAACCCCTGAGTCACTGTCACCACCACCAGATGGACTTTGGAGTTCCCAGCTTCAGAAACTGAAGCAAATAAATTTCATTTTCTTTATAAATTACCCAGTTCCACATACTTTGTTATAGCAACATAAATGGCCTAATACAATGATCTTAACAGTTTTGAAGAGTACTAGTCAGGTGTTTTGTAGAGCGTCCCTTAATCTGGGTTTTCTCTTGTTATTTTTATGATTGCACTGGGAGTATTGCACTTGGGGAAGAATTCCACTGAGATGAAGTACGCTTTCTATCACATCAAATCAGGGGTACATGATATCAACATGACCCTTTACTGGTGATATTAACCAGTCACTTGGATTGGGTGGTGGCTGCCAGGTTTCTCTCCTATAAAGCAACCATTTTCTCCTTTCCATGCTCTATTGAACCAACCCACTAAGTCCAGGCTGCAAGTAAGGGGAGGGAATTAAGATCCACCTCCTAGAGATGGGAGTATGTACATATATTATTCCTAATATGAAATTTTGATTTGAGTTTTGCTCTAACAGAACAGTTTGTCCCAGAACTTCTAAGAAGAGGAACAAGCCAAATCTCACAGTGACACTCCTTAAAGATAACTACATAAGAAAGTTCATTTTTAAAACAAATATGGAAAAAGAAAAACTAGGGTAAAATTAAGGCAAAAGAAAGTGAATTATTTAGGCAAATAAGAGAATCAGAAGGGTATGCACTCTAACCCCTGCGACTTACTAGCTGTGTAACACAGGATACTTCTTTTTCTTGGGGGCGGGGGATGGGGGGGTTGGCTGGCCAGTATAGGAATCCAAACCCTTGACCTTGAAGTTACAAGATGGCATTCTAACCTGGATATTTTACTTAACGTTTTAAATTCTCAAGAAGCAACAGTGCAAACACCACACTATTATTGTAAATATTCAATTAAATAAGTTAAATAAAACTCTTAGCCTGTTGTCTGGGTTATGGTCAATGCTCAAAGTATAAGAACACATTATTTCTTGACACTGGGAGGCAAATGGACCTTTTTGAGAATCTCTGTTCCCACCCCACCCCCACCCCCCGAGGGCAATTTCTTCCTGACTGCCAGCCTTAGAGCCAACCTGATTTTTTCCTATGCACTCTCCTTGGTCAAGAGCTGGATGCCACACAGGCATAACACACCTTCACCCAGCTCCATTCCTTTGTCTGCTGATATATGATTCAAAAATGGGTTTTTCAAATAGTACCAAGAACTGTCAGCCTATGTTTCCTATGAAAATGTACTATCTTTTAAAGCTTGGCCAGTGAGATCTAAGTATTCACTTTTTATAAAGATCGTAACACATGTAATTTCTTCCTGAGGCTTAAAGGGTCTGAATGGAGGTCTATTATATATGTAAATCAACACCCCCAAATACTTTTTATTATTATTATTATTATTATTATTATTATTATTATTATTATTATTATTATTATTATTATTATTATTATTATCTGGTTCAAAACTGTTACAAAAAGATAGTGGTGAATTATACTGAATATTATTTTGAAAGAGATACTTCCTAACCCACTGGCAGTAGTGGTCAGAACAAGCAGGGTTTCAGCCAAGAATGAAAAGATGTGTGTCTGCTAATTTGCTAATGTGAACAGTGCTAAAAAACAAAAACAAAAAAAACACACACACACAACAAAGAAGGAAAACCAATATCTCCAACAGTTAAAAAAAAAAATTCCGTTTTAAACATCTGTAAAACATTCAACGATCCATTATTATTTTACTTTTAACATAATAAGTTTAACTTCATGCGGAAGAAGAAACAAAAACTATGTAACGGGAACGACTCCATTTCAGCAGTCAACAGAAAAACCAAAAAAAAACCACCATCACCAAAACAAACAAACCTAATTTATTAGGCATGTCTACGTTTTATTTTCCTTTAGGTGACATTTTTTGGAAAATTACATTTTCAAAGAATCAGCCCTTACAAATAGAGCTAATCTTTCCAAAAATAAAACCCAGTATCTAGATTCTTAAAATTCAGAAAACCAATTGGAAACGTCTGGTTGTCAGCCAACAGTGTCATGCTCAAGTGAGTTTCACAGCACAAGTAATAATCTGTAAGTTCAGCAGGCAAAGTATGACTACAGACTGTTACTGCTGTTATCAACTGTGCCGACAATTGTCTTATTGCTGAACTGTATGTGATAAATTTTCTTTGGCAACTTTAATTTGTCAATAACACCACAGGACAACTATAAAGGTTTGGATTAACTCAGTATTTCAAAACATCACTATAATTATTTAAATATAATTTCTAATAGATACTAGACTAGGAAAGCCTCCAAACATGCCTAATATAATGACAAAAAAATTGCTAAATGATCACTACTAAAAGCTTTTCCATCATATGTACAAGAATATTATTCAACTCAACCTCACCAGTGAAAATATTAGAAGGTTAGCGCCAATTCCCTATCAGATCTTCTGTGATAAAGAACAAAAAATAAATGGTGAAACTACATCTGGGTAGCTGTCAATTTTTCTGGGCGGCTATCTCACATAAATTCAAAATGGCCTAAAATTATCCAGAATATAATATAAATTCTCACTATAATACGTCATAAACTTGTATTTAAAGCATATTGATAGCTTGTTAGTTTTTAATTCTTATTCCATGGAATAAGCCTATGTTGGAGGCTTGGCACAATATTACCAAGAAACTTAAAGGAAGCTCAAGTCCAGAAGTTTAAGAATTCTCTTCTACATATAACAAATCACCAACTTGAATTATAAATGGCTTCCACTAAAACTACCACTCTCAAATTCACACAAAGTAAATTAAAACAGGTGTGGCAGAAAGCACACTCTGAAGCATGTTCACATTACAAAGATAAATGATGACGGTTAACCAGCAAAAATTCAAACAGGCATATATGCAAACATTTGTAAGCAAACTTTCATGAATAAGATATAAGAAATGATTCATTTGGATCATTTCATGTACAGCTTGTATGCAATTTAAAACAAGTTCAACTAAAAACATTTCTATGTAAAAGCCACAATAAAGTCAAATGAAATACTAAATAACAGTCTTACAAATTGGTCTCTCTAAGGAGTTCTCCAGAGAATAATAAGTTGTGTTATTCTAAGAAATACCCTCTTCTTGATCAATCATTTCTGTTTTAACTGAAAACACATCTGCCAGCATGTGTTTCGGAATTTCTGAACCTCTGACTTTCAAGGCATAGCAAGCATTCTCCACTTTGGCCAGACTTTGTTTCAAGGTATACAGTTTCTTTGAAACCTCATAAGGTCCAGTGTTGCCAATGAATGAAAACCCATCATAAACCTGACGTAAAAACTGGCTCACTTCAAAGGGGGTGTCAATGTCCCCATTCCCCACACTGTTAATACACATCCGCATCAATTCTCCAGTTAAATCAGCCACGCCCAGGAGGTAATCAACAGGTGTGACTTTCAGTCTCCAAGTACCAAACTGGTTATCCTGTGCATCAGAGGAGGGCTGGTAAAAAACAAAACACAACACAACACACACACAAAGAAAACACACTGTGAAAGAGTGAATATGGCAAGTGTCACATTTACTATAAAGTACAAAATCAACAGCAGATCAGTCATTCTAATCTTTAAATAAAGCCATCTATACTGCTTAATAAACCATTTGGGATGTCACGAGAGGAATCCATGGCCTGGGGAGGGAGCTGAACGAGATGATTTCAGGATACTTCTAAAATCTAATCTGTATCATCATAAAACCAACTACTTCCAACTTCACTTGATATATGAAATAAAAACATTCTTGAACAAGGCCTAATGACTTACTGCATGACAACCACTGATTTAAATAAAAACTTATAAGCCCCTCCAAGTTTGTGATCCATTCCTGCTTCCTTTGCTTCCCGTCTTTCCCTACTGAGCACTGACCACCACAATTTATTACTCTCTTGCTGCACCTGCGATTCCTTTAGACCCTTCTATTTTTTACTGCATCTGCCCAGCAAAAACAAAATCGTGAATCAATACTAAATTTATTTGGTAGTCCCTTATTCAGGAGGCTGAGCACCACTGAGTTTAAAAATAGTAATCGCGACTACATAGAATTTGTACTGCTATAAATTACTCACCAATCCTTGTACTTATTCTTACCTGGTTCTCTCTCCAGCCTCTTCAAACACTATTCCACACCTTTACCACTCTCCTCAGTCCCCTCTCAATCCCAAACCTTTTCACTTTCAGCAGACAATGCTGTCTAATTTCAAGAGCTGGCTGTTTGCCAGATCACCTAGCACAATGCTCTCAATCACTAACAAAAAAACCCTTATCTGTACCAATATCCATCTTTACCTCAATCACTAACAAAAAACCCTTATCTATACCAATATCCATCTTTACCTCAATCACTAACAAAAAAACCCTTATCTATACCAATATCCATCTTTACTTCTATCCTCCAGTCTCAGATGATGAGTTGCCCCTCCTCTTGCCTGAGGTTAACTCACCCAAAAGGACTCTGACCCATCTCTTCCCACCTCTTCCAGGAACTTGCTTTATAAGGCACACACCCTTGGGCAAGTTATTCATCTCTCTAAACCTCAGTTTCCTCATCTGTAAAATGGGATAGCAATACCTACGTCAGAGGCTTATTTTAAGAATTAAATGAGATAACATTTACCTAATTCTTGGCATAATGCCCAACAGAGTAAATACTCAATAAATGTTCACTGCTATCATCATTACCATCACCACGTAAATCTCCTTTCTCTACATCAATTTCTCTCTATGGGGTTCTTTCTGGTAGAGGCGATGCCTAAAATGTTATTAAAAGACTATCTGGGACTTGGCTAGGTGAAGATGCAATTACATCAGAGGGTAGTGTAGGCAGCAGGAACTGCAAAGACATGTAGGTAAGAACTGTGTTGTATATTTGAGGAACTAATGAGGCATTTCTTAAGTTTAAAGAGCAGTACAGGATGAGACTAGAGAGAGCAACAGAATGTCATATTAAGGAATATGAACTTACTTATAAGTAATGAAGAGTCTCTGAGAATTAAGCAAGAAAATAGCAGAGTCCAATTTAGGTCTTACTAAGATCACTCTGGTTGCTGTATATACAATGCATGAATCCTAGTATTGTTTGGACTGTTCTGAGACCATCTGGTCCAATGCCCTCATCACAGAGCATAAGAAATAAGCTCCAAGAAATATCACAGGATAAGTACCTGAAGCCTGCTTCCCAATCATTCTGATGCCTTTTAAACTATACCATGAAAGTACCTGCTGTGTTTGTTTCTATTAACTATCAGAGATCTGACATCTTTTTAGAAAGGGTGGATTGTGACTGTGGTAGGTGCATTTCATAAGCCATTCATAAAAATAAACTTTGCTTAAGAAAACATTAATGTTCTCTGTTTCTAACCATTAGACAGAAGAATTTCCATGGTTATAAATAAGAAGTTGATTTTGGAGGAAAAACCATGTTAAAAAATTAGCAAATTTCTACATTTCGACTAATTGTCAAATAAATAAATTCTGCTTTACTAATAATGTATTATTACTAGGAAAAAGAAAATTACTTAAAATGCAGTTTTTCAAGATAGACACTGAAGTATTTAGGGGTGAAATATTGTAACATCTCTAATTTACTTTGAAATGATTTAGCAAAAAATGAAACCATTACTGAATTCCACACAGTGAGTGTACGGACATTTGCCATGTTTCTATTCTCTCTACTTTTCTGCTTTTGAAATTCTTTGTAATAAAAAGCTTTTTTAAAATATTAAATTTAATGGTTTTGGCAATATTCTCAATAGACAAGTTAGAGCAAAATACTTTTCCCTATCAAATTCTCAGAATTTTCATCATCAAGAATCTTTGGCACTAAAAGGAAAAATTATTTGTGAATGTGGTCTCAACATATGAAAACTATACATGAATGTTATGCCACCATAACCTCAGGGTAACTTAGTACCTAAGTCCTAAAAACAGTTCACTTACTTAGTATTTCTGCCTTTTCCCCAATATTTTCATTTTGATTTAGAGAAAACTTGAAAGGAAGGTATGGTAACTTCCTTAATGTTAAATTTAAGAAGCAGGGCAAACAGCTTACTTTACTTCTTTGTGTAATTGAGTCTTCAACAGATAATCAAAAATATGAAAAAATTTTACTTCTGAAAACGAATTTCCTCCTTACTAAACTTCTTATAATTGAAAAAAGTTGAGAAAATACATGGCTTCTTTTATATCTGTGATGCCAACTTAGTCTCATTGTATAATATTAACATTTTAGTTGCTATACAAGAAAATATCATTTCTATAGCTTCTTCCATCTCCTGCCTACCTATCCTAAATCTTTGAGTGGTGTTTAAAAATATAATAAAAGGAAAAAAAAGGAGACCAAAAAACTGTTCAAAATCAGTGTCTCTGAAAGTATCAAATATTCAAAGTAGCCTACCTCGTTGCCTGATTATTATATTTTGAAACCCAGGAGGAAAAAAATAGCATTTGTTTAAAAGTCAAACTGCAAAACTTTCTCTTTTCTGAATTCAGAGGAGCTACATAAATTTCTGATAAAGTATTCTGAATTGAGTGATTAACAGCTCTCACTTTATAACATCTACTTTATAACAACAAACTATTGAGTACTTGTGTGTCAAATGCTACACACTGCCTAATTAAAAACCTTTAAATCAAATCCTTTAAAACAAACCTTTCAGGCAGGTGCCTGATGCAAGGGGTCCCTGTAGCACACTTTGAGAAGCACTGGCACGGCAGACAAGGGCACAGGCACAGGTTCAAAACACCTGGTAAAATCTTAGCTCTGCCACCTTTACTAGCTGTGTGGCTTTGGGGAAATTACTTAAACTCTAAAAGCCTGTTTCCTTCTCTGTAAAGTGGGGGTAATCATTCTTTCCTCATAAGATTAATAAAACAATTAAATGAGATAGTGCTTATAAAGGGCAATATATAGAAAATACATAGTAAAACCAAAATCAGAGTAATCACTCAATAATGCTTTAGGTGAAGAGTACTACTTTTCCCAGCCTACCTATAGTTGTTCAATAAACTAAATAAAATATTTAAAAAGAATATTTCTCTAGCTGAGAATCTATGAAAGAACATCCCCATTTCAATCTTCTTAGCATTACAAGCCCTTCAATCGCCTATATGCATTGTGCTATCACATAAATTATATAATAAGAGTGAAATATCATTTTAAATTCTCACAGTCTTATTTTCTTTCCCATTGTCTTCTGTTGTAAATATCAACTGCTTATTAATTTCATCCATACTGATTAATGATCGTGTTTTGATGAAGTGCTGAAAAGAGACAGCCTCCACATATTCCTGCAGTCCTGAAAAACCAAAGAAAATCACTAAGAACAAGCACTAAATTAATCAAAATGTCATAATAAAAAACTTCAGATTGATGATCACCACACTCAACGACTGTTTAATGGATGCCTATAACAATGTCGCACTGGACTTGATACTTCAATCACCTGGGGACAGAGGGTGGGGACCAGCAGTGAGCACAGCACACATTCCTGTGACCGCTTGAATGCAAAAGTATTCGGTTTCTTTCCACTTCATGAGTCATTAGTCTTAATCTACTTTTTCCTACAGAGAAGTGCCAAAGATTTTAAGAAAAAATAATTTTAAGAATTTAAGAAAAGACTATTTCATAAATTCTGGTAGGCAATCAAAATTATCCAGTAAATTATTTTTTGCTTCCTTAAGCAGCAAAATAGAACAATGATTCGATCAAATGAGACATAAAATTAAGGATATTTGGGTCTTTCTTAAATTTTTTTTTTTTTTTTTTTTGGGTCCTTTTTGAGACCGGCCGCACCGCACTCAGCCAGTGAGCGCTGTGAGCGCACCAGTCATCCCTATATAGGATCCGACCCCGCGGTGGGAGCGCTGCTGCGCTCCCAGCGCCGCACTCTCCCGAGTGCGCCACGGGCTCGGCCCTCTTTCTTAAAATTTTAACAGATACTTTTTTAGAAAAAAGTATCAATATACAAAATACTGCTTGTCTTTTCACACATCAAAATGGATCTAAGAATATTAGAAAACTCCTTTCTACTTCAGTAGTTTAACTTGAAAAATAAATAAATAAATAAAGCTAAGCAATACAATTTTGTATCAGATCAAAATTCTAAAACATTAGGGCCGGCCCGTGGCTCACTTGGAAGAGCGTGGTGCTGACAACACGAAGTCAAGGGTTAAGATCCCCTTACCGGTCATCTTTTTTTTTAAAAAAAAGAAAATTCTAAAAAATTCACCTTGCATTAAAAGTAAATTTTGGCAAAGATCAAAACAGTACTAGAAGAGTTTGGATCTCCGAACAAGCCAACTGCAAAAAAAAAAAAAAAAAAAAAAAAAATACCAGAAATACTTTTTCAGGTGTTTTAAAACAACTAAATTCTATACCCATAATTTTCAATATTATTTTATTATGCCCTTAATCTATAAGACAATACAAGGAAAAATTACTTCTTAAAATAATTATCGTTATCACCAGGCTAAGAAACTTAGTCTTTTTGAATGATTTATTATAATAATAGCAAGAGGAAAATGAATTTCTGATAAGGAAAAGAAAACTCAGACCTTAATAGGATAATCAGTATTTAAGTTGTCTCTCTAACACTTCTGATGACAGAGTCCAGCTGCCTACACTACCTAACACTACAAATCAAACCCAAGGAGGCTGACAGCTTTGGGGTAATCCCATAAAATGCTGTGCAAGGGTCAAGGACACTAGTGGAAATGGATGACCTGGTGTTGATATTGGCAAGAGGAAATGAAACTAAGTGAAAATACCCTGACTCATCTTGAGCTGCAAATGCTGTCAAAGTAGAGGTCAGAAAACAGGTGCCTTCAGCGGACAGAACAACTGATAGAAAAGGACAATTTGTTTAATAACCCATAGCATGCTGAGAAATTAAACATTAACAGGCTAAGTTTAACAAAACAAGTAGCATCACTTACATTTACAATCAAAAATATTTTTGTAAATTTTACTTTTATGAATAGAGGAACACTAATTTCCCCTCCTTAAAGGAAATCTATATTTCTCTTTTCCTTCCAGAGATACTTCATGCATACAAAAGCAAATACTAAAACTTACAAATTGATAATCACATCTCTAAATATGCTCTAATATGGTGAGCCTCTTATGAGTGAGCTAAACAAGAACATATGCACAGAAATTTATGAACAAGTATGTGCATCATCACAGTCATTACAGCAAAAATAGGAAGAACCTTAAAAGACTAATAATAGGTGTGCCACTTGTTGATTTATTGTCTCTAAACTCCATTATCTCAGACAATGCAGGTGGACCCTTGAAACATTTCTCCATGTCAGCTGGCAAGATCCCAAGCTTTGCTGGTAGACGGTGCTAGGAGGTCAAAGGACAGTAAAGAGGAAAGAGGTCTCTTCCTGGTTCTAGTGTGTCCCTCTTAGCAGCCTTCTAAAGATGGGGCAGCCAGCAGCTGAGACAGCCGGCCAGCCACAGGGGGCATCTCCCTGGGGACAGACTCTTGTACTCCAGAGAGCGGCTGTCCAGTGAGCTGCCTCCTTGGGTAGGGAGATCCATGGCATGGCACCTCTCCATGGACAGCTTCCCAGAGAGTTCCATCAGCACAATCCCTCAGCAAACATCTCTGCCACCCAATGGGCCAGCGGGGGGTTCTTCCACCTTTGTTACTTCCTTGGGTGATCTGCCTCCACCCTAGGAGTAGTGGCTGCTCCTGTCTGATATTCTTGTACTCTTTAGAGTTCTTGTTTCCTTTTATTAGGTAATTCCCCCACACAGTTAAAATTTTTTTACATTAAACTTTCCCTGTTCAAATTACTGTGTAGTTTATGTCTCCTGTTTGGACCCTAATGAATACAATAGGAAATTAGGAAATAAATAATGGTATTATTTGTCCTTCACTCTTATTACCTAGAGGAGGTGTTCCATCTTTTTTTTTTTTTTTGGCAGCTGGCCTGTACAGGGATCCAAAATTTGACCTTGGTATTATAACACCACGTTCTAAACAACTGACCTAACTGGCCAGCCTCATCTTCCAAGGCCAGTCACTGTACGAGGCTCAAGCTCAAGAACTGAGCAGGAAGCTTACTGTGGATTCTCTCTTCAATATACTGGATGCTCCGCCTTGTGTCCTCTACCAGATGTTTACTGTCAATACTGAAGCACGCTCAGATCTCTCCCATCCACCGACCTTAACTTTCCTCCCAATTATCGCCCCATCTCTCTCCTCCCCTTCAGAGCTGAATTCTTGAAATAGCTGGTTATACTTCCTCAGTAACTTCATCTCACACTTCTCAGCCTACTTCAATCTAGCCTGAGCCCATCTCTATAGAAAAACAGCTCTCACTAAAACTACCACACAAGTCTAATGGACGCTTTTCAGTCTTAATCTTAGCAGCATTCAGCATTTCTGACCACTTTCTCCCTCTTTAAACAAGTTTTCTTTGGTTTCTGTGACAGCATCATCTGACTTCCCATTTTTCTACCTCTCCGGCCATGTCTTCTCAGTCTCTGCCTCTACTAGCCCTTGGTTTTCTCAAGTTCATCTAACAATTGGTTTCAATGAAACCTGCTGTTCCTCAACTTCACACCTCTGGTTTAGGGTCACATATATCCAAAAGCACACTTGGCATCCCTAGCGGAGAGACCTCAAAGTCAACACATGAAACACTGAACTCACAATCTTCCTTCCAAACCTAGTCCTCTTAGCTTTGCCAACTCTAAGCACCTCCTGGTCTCCCCATCCACTCCTGACCTCTTCTCACCCATTCTCACAATGCAGACTGTCTGCCTTTTTAATACATAACTATGACCACATCACTCCCCTATTTAAAGCCCAGTTTCCCACGGCTCTTAGAATACAGAGCAAAATCATTAGCTTGGCTTATAAGGCCCTGCTTATTAATTACTCTCACCTACATCAGCCTCAGTTCATGCTATAGTCAAGTCATACTCACAAGGTTACATTTCCAAGATGGGTGCATAGACCCATGTCTGCATAATGTCAGAATTGCTCTTAAAACCCTTTAAATCAGTAAAATCAAGGCTTCTGTGTCCCCTGTGATATGAAATTTTCCTGCAGTTAGTATAAATCACTACCTTCTTCAATATTTCAAGGCATAATCCTGTCCCCAAATTCTTAACAGTTGGCTTACATTTCAGCAGCATATTGAAAAAAATAGCAATGCTATATAATATGTTAGAATCAAATACAAGTGGCAAGTTGCCTGCCCTACACATGGCAGTTGACAAGGGAGGGAGAGAGCATAAAAACTAAGACCGTCTCCGTTGAAGGCCTCACACACACATCTGCCTGGGCCTTTGTGCTAAGACTCAATGACATCACCAAGCAATCATTATATCAGGTTGATAGGCACGAGCCACTGTAAGCTCATGACTGTCCTGTTCAGTGCCTAATATGTGCCTTTCATGTAACAGACACAAAAACATAATTGAATAAGGTACATCCATTTGTCAAAAAACTATACATTATGTTTTAGAAGAACATTTAATAAATAGGAAAATGCCTGTTGTGAAAAAACGCAAAATACGATGGGTACAGAGTTTCACTCTGGAAGGTGAAAAAGTTCTAGAGATGATGGTTGTATTGGCTCCACAACAATGTGAATGTACTTAATGCCACTGAACTGCACACTTAAAAATGGTTATGTTATGTATAACACAGTAGAGTCTTCTTTTTTAACATAAGCATTTTTTAGCTATGAATTTCCCTATCAACACTGCTTTTGTTATATTCCATAAGTTTTGGCATGCTGTGTTTTCATTTCAAATACAATCTCTTTTAGGCAGCAGATGTTCAACAAGCATTTGTCTAAAGAATCTATGACTGAATATTTGCTATTGATCTGGTTAAACAAAAGATCAAAAACACTGCCTAATATATCAATTTTGAGGTTAAGCTCTTACTGCTTTAGTTTCCTTAAAGTGGCATAAATGTTTTATAAAATGGTATTAACTTTAGAAACACATTTGGTAGAAAAAAAGCTGGATCCCCCCCCACCACCACGGTGCAATGCTGTTTATCCTACTTGTTAAATTTAATATTATTTCCTATGTAGCTATTTATGAGATCACAAACATTTTAGAAACAAGATACTACTAATTTTTCATGTCATGCAGCAGTACCTTGTTGCAAAAGCAAATGACATTCCTGTTTGGGTGGTATATAATTTAGGTTCATTAAGATGGGTGTTCGTTTTTGGTTTTGTTTTTATATTTCAGTAGGAAGAACAGTTAATAATATTCCAAAATTTCAAATATATCTGAAGTCATTATGTAAGTTGTCCTCGG